TGAAATAATTTTGTATGTCAGTTTCGGTGCAGTCGTTACAAAATCTGGATATATAGACCGGAATTATTTGCTCGGCCGCCTTTAATGCTGTGGTGCCATTGGTGCCCCTTTTATTTTTTGATTGAAAGTACGGTCTATTACTTGTTTCTTGATAATTTTCAATATGTGGTCTTTTTCTTTTTCTAGTAACTAGGCGAAAGCCCTGATCGTCTGTGGCTTGTATCGTAGAATCATTAATTGATGGATCAGAGACCTTACCACTCATTACCGCTTGGCTAAAGTTCAATACTGGGGTTTTCTTCGTTAAAAATGACGAAAAGTCCCTTAAATTGCAATTACAGTGAACCCCCAGTAATCCGGCCCCTGTCTAATCCGGCGCCCCCTGTAATCCGACATGTCCGAATATTTTTTGGTAGATACGTAATGCATGATTGAACAGGTCATAATTTGTGCGCGCCACCATTATTGCGCTCGACGCGTCGGTTTGTTTGTTTATTACGTACATTTGTTTGTACACAATTATTTCCTAATGCAAATTATTATTTTTTCACATTACTCACTCGCATCACTTTTACATTATATTAATACGTAAGCTCTATATTATCTTTTTTAATTTACCTACTAGATTCGATATACATAATGAATTATGATTTGTACTTCAGAGTAATATAGATATATACATAACATATAGATCTTTATCACTGATCTGTAATTAAAAAAAAAAAAACTATAGGGCGTATTTGGCAGTACTCTATAATCCGACAAATTCGATAGTCCGACACTGCCCTGCAAAACGTTTGTCGGATCACCGGGGGTCCACTGTATTTGAAATTGTATTAACAACGTTGGATCCCTTCATAGAATCATTAGAATAATTTTGAGTTGCGGGTAGTACATGACAGCAATCCGCTACTCTTTTCTTCTTTCTTTAAGTTCTTTAATTTCACACTCAAGTTTACTAACAGAATTCCTCGTTTCAGTTTGATACGTTAGCAATTCATTTTTTAATGTAGCCAGTGTCTTCAGCAAGCTACTTACGTCGAGATGATCGAAAGTTACAGATGGCACCCTATTCAGGTCTTTGGCTGCAAAAGTAGGCAGATGTTCTGATTCCTTCAAAGTCTTTATTACATCGCTGATATTATTCTGATTTCTTTTATCACCTTTTCTGATCACTTTTCTTATCTTCACTAATTCGCATAGTAACGTTTTAGCACACTCGATTTCCTCTTCGTTATACCATGCACTACATATTTGCACGAGACTTAGTTCGTCCATTACATCACACTTGTTTTGAAGAAAACATAATAATTCGTTTATAACAAGATTGCACTCGCACGGCATAATGACGGTCAAAACATTACATCGAGCGCTAAAGACTAATAGCAAAACGCAGTGAGCTATTCGAGGTGATACGCGATATGTGCGCACACAACGACCGCCAATGACGGATGGTTGGTTGGTTGTTGTTGTTGGATGGATTGGTTATAAATAGGGTGATTCAAAAGGAAGGTTTTATGTATAATAGAAGACCAAATATTTAATTGTTTGTTTGTTTGCAAATAAAGGGCTGAAAAAGGGAGTGAAAGTTTGTATAGAGAATAGGGAATACGACTGGGTAACAAAGAAATTATATATAGTCCTTCAGTCAGGTAATAGAAAAAACTAATATTTTAATGCATATTTTTGTTTACTCCAATTGAAGAAGAAATAGCTTAGATAACAGGCATTAAAGTTGAGGAGTGGGGGCTCGCTACGTCACAGTATTGTAGAAAATGTACTAAAGCGTGACGTCATGTGACATTTTAATTCAATGTATTGCTGCAATTAAATGTTTATGAAAAAAATAAGTAATTAATATTTTTTTACAATCTACCTGACGGACAAACAAACAAAAATTAGTGGTCATCCCTATTCAAACATTGCCATAGTAACCATTATTTACTATACAATTTCTCAATATAATTATATCCGTGTCATGATATGAATTGATATTTGAAAAACCAGTTCCCGAGGGAGAACGCCGGCGAAGCCGCTGGCAGAAAGCTATTATTATAAAGAGGAAATATTTTATTGGTTCTTTATTAGCATTGAATAAGCTTCGAAACTATTGGATCGATTTTAAATATATATATAAGAAGCTAGTATAAAAACAACTAGTGATATTAAAAATAAATAGATATTAGACATCACATTCATAGCTCAGATGTACTAGGGAACAACTATAGTACCACAACCTAGACCCGAGATGATATATTTAAAGTTGAAGTGTTTCTTTGGTTGATAGAACATGCTCATCATAGGGAGTACTGGTTCGAGTAGAAAAAATATTTAGTATTGAACAGTCCATTTAATGAGGAATTCTATAGACTATAAACATCACTCTATGACTAATAGGAGTGTTATAGTTCAAATTATGAGCATATACAGTAAAGAGAAATGTTCATATTCATTTATTTGTTCATAAACATGTGTACAATACATTGGTGTAAAAAACACCTTAGTTGGTATATGAAAGGACAAAAAGAAAACATTAGGCTTTGCCTTATAAAATAATATAATAACCCAAGATTTGGCTGTACGGCTTAGTTCCTTTGTCCCATGGGAGAAACTACTACTGGTAAATGAACATTGAAAAAAAAGTTAATTAAGATAAAACAAATAGATATGTCTCATTAAACTAAAGTGTCAGTTATCAATAAAATTTAAAAGTTACAACTATGTTAAAAAATGTTAATTAATATCTAATTATTTTAGTTTTATTAATTCTTATTAAACTCATCGTTTAAAAACACTAATAAGTTTTTTCAGCAAGAAAGCCAATGAGAGCACTTTCAAATTGTTTATTGATCTAATAGACAGTGGAATTTTATTATATATGTTGCAAAAACTGGAAAACCAGGCAGCTGAAACAACTGGTGGAAATCTAATATTGTATGGCCAGCTGAACACTGACAGTAGCAATGTTTGTTTGAGAGGCAGATCCTCTCTTATAACCATGGAGACTGAACAACAGGAGTAGACCCTCTAATAGCCTAAGTGATATTATTGCTCAGTTGTGCTCTTGCTTTGACGGGGAAAGATTGAAATGTCTGTTCGCTGACCAGGGATCTCATGTATCTATCCTATGTGAGGAATAATAATCAAGTGTTTCCAAGTCTTTCTTCAACCCATAGAGCAGCCGACCCTACAAGGAGACAGCCAAAACTTTAACCAATTTTTGTGGTTTTATAGTGTTTAGTAATTGTACTTTTAGATTCATACTGTATCAACAAATCAAGTTTTACTCCTCCAGTGTGGAAAAGCAAAGAAATATAGAATATTCATAAATAATTAGTTTACAAGTAGGTATTTAGTGAAAAGTTTAGGGTTACTTTTACTTTTTAAAGAACTTTCTAAGTTCTTTATAAAGTAAGATGAAAGTTTTCCCCCCACTTACAGTTATCCATTTTTGCCGAGTTATAATTAACACAATAATATTATCACTTATTCTTAAATCTTCAGTTCTACAAACACTCAACGTATTTAACACATTTCAAATAATCACTAAATCACACACAAAAATTGTTTATTTTGATCAGTTTTGTTTGTCCATTGCCGGTTGCGGCTGTCAATTTGTCATACATAGTGTTGAGCACTATGTATGACAAATAATAATCGATATGTCAAAATATGGTAATTATATAAATAGTTAATGCATTGAATTCTTAAAAAATTTTTTTTTTTCTAGTTTCTTATTTTATTAAATAAAGATCCTTACTTAATTTTATCACCCATATCTACTCTATATAGCTACTATACTATTGTGATTGTGAATATATTTTCTTCTAGACTCGAAGTTTGTTTGTTATTTATAGAAGTATTAGTACATTGTGGCACTACGCACCACTTATAGCGCATTTTTTAAAGAAAACTAGAGCAGAGGAAAATAAAAGACGTAAAAAATACGCACTACGACTTCAATTTCTCTTCTAAATTATTATTTCAACTAGTGGACGCCCGCGACTTCGTCCGCGTGGAAGTCGGTATCCCGTGGGAGTGAGAAGTTTTCCCAGTAAAAAGTACCCTATGTGTTATTCTGATGTATAACCTATATTGCTGTAAAGTTTTATCCAAATCCGTCCAGTAGTTTTTTCGTGAAAGAGTAACAAACATCCATACATCCATACTTACAAACTTTCGCCTTTATAATATTAATAGGATTTACTCTTTATCTACTTATTACTATTACTCTTTATTACTTTATTTACTTATCGATTTGACATATTTACTGGCCTGTGACGTCACGATCAGCGCCATTACATACTGTGATTACATAGAGCAGCGTTTTTCGCGCGCTTTTGGCTATTTTAATTTTAACAATTATTTTCACCAAAAATAGAAAAGATTCCAATGAAATATTATGACAGTGTGTTTATAATGTAGCAAACATCGATTTAAAATAGTTTTCAGAAAAGTGTCAAATACCCTATAGAAAGAAACAATTTTAGTTCGGGATGTTGGCAGAATTTCTGCGCTTAACGGAACAAGCAAAGAGTACATTTTTTGTGGAACAAGGCAATAAAAAAAAAAGTGTTTGGTTAGTTTCGAATGGTTTCGAACAAGTTTCGAATCTTGAATCTTTCTTTTTTGGAACTTATTAATCGTTTTTGTTAAAAATAATTATTAAAACGAAATCATGTTTACCTGTAAAATATAATGTGTTACTTAACAACACAATTCTCATTTTAATTGTCTCATCATACAAAAACTAGTTTGTTTACGTACTTTACGTTTAGTTTTGTGAACCTTGAACTCTTAGTTTGAACCCTGTTTTATTAGTGTAACGTTGTATCATGTTATTTAACTAAAACAACACTTCAGTTTATAACTTATTTGAATACCAAATTAATACCAATACAGCATTGAAATTTACGGGCGCTAACTTACTCATTTATCACTAAGCTATGCTAATTACAGTATATAAATAGTAGTTAGAACTGTGTTATCATAAATATTATCTATTGGATAATATCTTTTCCAATAGTTTAATCGCACGAAATGTGTAAACAATAGTTCCATTATTTCAATTTTGTAAGAAATAACACAAGACTATATATATATTTTATTATTTCAAATATTAGAATTTAAGACAATGAAAAAGGTGAAAATGCTGAATCTTGTGACAAAGGAACAACTGAAGAAATGTTTTCCGGATTTACCATTGGGGCCCTTGGATGGATATCGTAGGAAAGCTTCTTTTGATTGGCGTCTCATGAAAATGGTTTATGATAATTTGAACACTATTCAGTTTAAGGTTGGTGCTTTAATATTAAACTAGTATAAGATTATAGACTACAAATCTTACAAATATTTTAATTATCATGTTTTAACTACTTTCCTCTTAATTTCTTAATTTTTTTACTCTTTAACCGAGTTCTTTAAATGGTGGTCCACATACCCTGGAAGTATTCCTAGTGGTCATAAATAATCAATTATATGTTTAATAATTCTATGCATATTTATCTACTCAAGGCTGCCATGACAAGAATATGACCCTTATTCTTACTGAAAAGTACTTCAAAAATCCACTTGTCCCTCATACTTGTGAGATGGGACACAAACCCACAACCTGTTGCAATTTGTGTGACTGCTCTAACTGCAAAGCTGCCCAGGACCTAACAGGGTGAACAAATGCTTTCAAGCACTTGTAACTGTTTTTTTTTGTTCAATTTCATTTTGCATTCAAATTGATATAATATAATATTAGTTCGTTATGATTAAAAGGTTATGAACCACTGGGCTATCTGGTCTATAACAATCTATTTATGTCTTAAAAAAATATAAAAACTAAATCAAATTGGTCTAGTTGTTCGTGAGTTTTACGCTGGGATTTATTTTATTTATTCTAGCATGAAATTTATAAATTTATGGAAGAGCACCCTTTGTTCAAACATTCAGATATCACAGAGTCACTAGATGAGCAAAGGCATATAACAGTGAAGCGGATGTATGCATTTAACAATGAGAATTTTTTGAAAATCGAAAAGGTAATTGTGTATTTATGTTAATAATATAAGATTATCTTCATTGGGTATGCAAAATCTACTATAAGATTTAATTCTGGTTTGATGTATGTATCAAAAACTGAGTATGCCTTAACTTTTTTTAATGACACCTTTTTTTTAATATCTCCACAAAATTTTGTGTTGCCAGGATTACAAAATTAGTTGCTAATTTAATTGGTTCAAAAATATTTCAATATTAACTAGATGTATATTAAAATTGTATTTTTTTATTTAGATCATTGAAGATGCAAGATTGTTAGCAGCAGAGTCAGAAGCTTTATTTATGTTTGATAGTTCCTTAGCAGTGAAACTGTCATTGACCTTTCGTATGTGTTCTAATTCAATACGAGGCTCTGGTCAGGCTCATCACTTCAAGTTTGTTGAAGATCTTGAGAATGCCCGAATCGGTGGATGCTTTGCTTTAACTGAGGTGTCACATGGCTCTAATGCAAAAGGAATGAGGACTACAGCTACTTATGTACCAGAGACAAAGGAGTTCAAACTACATACACCAGATTTTGAAGCAGCTAAATTTTGGGTTGGATGTCTTGGTAAGGATTACCATTTTATATTATAATAACTTTCCACCAGTAATCTTTATGGTAATTCAGGCTAAGAATTCTCCGTATATCAAAATCCATTCAGTAGTTTTTGTTTAAAAGAGTAACAAACATACATACATCCATTCTCGCATACTTTCGCATTTATAACATTAGTATAGAACATGTAACTATTATAAAGAGCCATCCTGATTTATTATTTTAGCTACTTTGTGCTATGGAAGGCATGATAGGCCCATAATTAGCACTGGTCTTTCTTCCTACTGACTTGTACTTCCTTGTCACCAGCCAATTTTTTTATTTATATTTATTACAAGCTTATCACTATTATTACAAGTAATCCCAATGCAACAGCATAGCCACATTATCTAAATACAATTATGACTTATTAACCATGACTATAACATAATAATATTATGTTGCTTATCTCTATTATCTCATTGGTGGTAAACTAGTCATTTATCTACTGATATACCTGTGTTTATTATGTAAACTTTTATCATTTTAATATTCAGATATATTACAAAGTCCAACATTGTATGATCTGAAACAAATGAATTGGTTACGTTATCCATATTGACAAAAACAAGTTTTACCTTCAGTAAAAATTATATAATACATATATTATTGTCACCTTAAGTCCTACCATCAAACAATTAATTCAAAGTGATACCAGTAGAAAATAAGTGAACAAATAGCCTTGATAATATTTAGCACTATCTTTTTGTAATTTAATATTAACGAAATTAGTATGATAACTTTTAAAATTGTTACCATTAACATACAAATGTTTCCGCTAAACTTATTTTAATAAGATTTTTTTTTTTATAATGGCCATATGAAAGAACGAGACACAAGGCCTCCGTTGTGACTATCTTTCTAGGCTCGGATTAGCTAATGTACATAAAGAAAAACAAAAAACCCGACTGCGTAAAAACGAATTAAAAAAAACACATTAAATAAATTAACTTAAAAGAAAGAAACAAACCCAGTAGTTTAGAATTCTGTTAAGTAATACAGAACAGAACGACACATAGTCGAGGCCCCTTGGGAAGATTTGATTGGAAAAATTTTAATGGTTTGAAATATGAATTTTTACGCACTCGGGTTTTTTGTTTTTCTTTAAATCATTTATTTTCATTTTATACTTTTTAGGTGCGATTCGTTGACTTCGTTATAAGATGGTAAATTTCGCAATCTAGTCATTTCATTGAGGAAGTTAATTTCGTGGGGATTATTAAGTAACTTGCGGTGGTCTAAACTACTGATGATTAGTCACTCTAGGGACCTAACTCGGCTCAAAGCTACATAATATGCTCTATTTTTTTACCAAAAATATTTGTACTTCATGCATTTTCACTGTTTTTTTTTTGTTTGTATATCGTTTATACTTTAAATAAAAACTTAAATCAATAAAGTAAGAAAATTAGCGAGAATGTTTTGTTAAAGAACTTTAATCGTTATATATCCTAAAATATTATTTAAAATGAAAAATTATAAAAAGAACCTAAAGATGATTTTAAAATACCCATTCAACGACACCTCACTTGACATAGTTCATTGTTTTTTTTTTCATTTTGACAATATGGCGTCAGGTTGTCGCTGTGGTGAATTTTGATTACTATCATGTCTTTAGTGACACTCGCAAGGTTAAGACGAATCGATTGACGTAAGAATCATCAAAATCGGCCTACGCATTTGGTCTCTAGAGCGCCACATAGAAACAAACATACATACATAGACTGATAAACACATTACCCTCCTTTGCGTCGCGCATTCGGGTAAAAAAGTATGGTGTTATGCGAACACGGAACCTGTGACGTCAATAAAAGAAATTACAAACGCGCGTGAAACCGTTTAAAATTGTTTCAAAATTCTTTAAAACCGTTTAAAAAGGGTTTTGGAATAACCGCATTAGATAATTATTTAATGACACTGTCAATCCGAATCGATGATCATACTTCATGAATATTTAAATTGAATGGTTTTTTTTCTATATTTGAATACCCACATAGCTATTTAACATTTAAATTTACTTTGTTACAAAACGATTATGCAAGTTGTTTGTTGTAAGTCATGTGTATTAACTTTCTTTAATTTTCTGACTTTTCAACCTTTATTTAATAAATACTATCAAACATACAATTATTTGAATTAGTCATCATCTGCCAAACTCTTCTACTATCAAGGTTCATGAGATAAGGCTGGTATAGTATTGTGTTTCCGTTTGTACTCTTTTGGTATATAACGCTAAAAACAGCACCTTCAGCTTACTTATGATGTTTTATAGGGAAATGTGCGACTCATGCGATAATCTACGCGGTGCTGATCTCCAATGGCAAAAATCACGGTCTGCATACATTCTTCGTTCCCATCAGAGACCCGGTCACTCTCAAGCCTTATCCAGGAGTCACAGTCGGTGACGTCGGCGAGAAGATTGGACTTAACGGAGTTGACAATGGGTAATATTATTTATTATATTAGACAACATCACATATAACTCTCGTATTATGAAGTATTAAAAAGTTCATTTACTAAATTGATGCGACTGAAAATCGAACCTCGAAAATGCCGTGCGATTCCCTCGGCTACGATTATACGAAATATATACAGGGTTACTTGTAAAACACCAACATCGCCCACTGCTGGACATAGGCCTCTCCTAATACGCTCAGTTTATCCCTGATTTGGATTATTCTCTTTAAAATATAACTTTTTGCCATGTGAAATGTACTTTTCTCTATTCAGAAACCGATCGTATATGTCAAATCTTAAATACTTATCGAGCACTGAATAGGTACATTAAATTTTACCTTCCAACTATTCCCCTGAACAGTAGATCTATTTGTATTTTAATTTTAATGTTGTTCTTGTTGGTTAGTTTCGTAATGTTTGACAACTATCACGTGAGTAAAGAGGCGGCGTTGGACAAGTTGGGAGGCGTGGACGACGATGGGAACTACACCACACCGTTCAAGGACCCCAATAAGAGATTTGGCGCTTCCATGGGCATATTGTCAGGTAAATTAATATTAAAAAATATGCTTAAAATACGCTCTGTAGTAGCGAAAAAGTAACAAGTGCTTGAAAAATTCGTCAGTTCTGTTAGGTCTTGGGTAGCAGTGGCTAGAGCAGTCGCCCGGATAGCGAAAGGTCGTGGTTTAGAGAGCCCCATCACAGAGTACCAGGAGCTGGTGGATGTAATTGGCCATTATTCATTAAGAAAGCGAAAGTTCTTGGGTTCAAGTCCCATCTCAGAGTACCAGATGATTGTGGATTTTTTAAGTATTTTTTACCATGTAAAAGTAAAAGCGATAAAACCTTTTACAATCTAAATGTAGTGATAAAATATAATAAAAGTTTTATTCTATTCTTTGAAGTGGTACTAATTAAACTCCAACTACTAAAGGTTTTCTAATCAAAGTCCTTAGATAACATCTGATCCCAGAGTGTGAGGACCGAGTTACACAGGGCAAGCTCCCTACATATTATACTCGTACGTGTTTCGCCTGGACCTAAATCACGCACCATTTATAAGTCGCATGACGCTGATTTTTAGTATTTTACAATAGTTCGTCTGCGGGGTGGCCAACATGATTCGAAATTTCGAATTTTAATTCTTCGTAATGTATGGAAAATATTTTTTTTTTGCCTTATATATAAAACAAAAAAAACGTGAACATAAATAAAACGGCCATAAATGTCATTTTTCCATTTCATATTTTGTCGTTTATTATGTCAATCGCATACAGCGTTCGCTAAACGACGAGTGGTTAATAGCACACGTTGCAATCGAGCGAGAATGACGAATTCATTTATATTTATGTCCAACAAAAACAGTAGAAAACGAGCGCCCGACGCGAGAAGAATGATTTAAAAATATAGCTCCTGATCTCTGTTTGATGCTCGAATCATATCTTTATAATATTTATATCCTCGAAACATATCTTTAAAGCCGTGGCTACCCATTAGTCTTATATGATCTAATTGTATTTATTCTAATGTTTGCCTACTAAGTTGGTATTCAAGCCGCTGTCTGGTGTGGCAGTTAAGTACAATATTGGCATTTTTAAATTGGAGCCAAGCATGAACGTAATCTTGGATCCAATGTGTGATCACCAGTGGTCGGAATTAGGTAGAGTTATTGATATACTTACACTGATTTCATACAGCGAAAGAATAAAGTGGATATGCCTTAAATCCCGAGATTAATTTTAAAGAGCAGAAAAAATCCCGTGATTTTTTAAATAAAAAGTTATTTACTTTTACACAATTTAAACTACTGCACGCACGACGTTGCCAAACTTACATCAATGACATCGGATGTCCAAAGATGTCCAAGATTGTCCATTAGAAATCCCGGGAAGGTCCACATTAATATCAACATTTCGATGCAAGTACATAAATAACTCTACCTAATTCCGACCTCTGGTGATCACGACTTAATAATATTAACGATTGAGTACTTTAATAATGTGTGTGGTAAAACATGGCTACTGCAGGTGGTAGAGTACACATCACTACTATCTCCACCGCTTATCTGCAGAAGGCTATCGTGATAGCCATTAGGTATTCTGCTGTGAGGAAGCAGTTCGGTCCTGAAGACAGTGATGAGGAATTGCCGGTTTTAGAATACCAGCAGCAGGTGAGACATCGGACTTAATACTAGCGGGTATTGGTAGCAACATAATATTAAGTTAATTGTTTGTCTTTTCATTTAACGACCTCCGTGGTTGGAATACCCGTTCATCGGTTTCGCCATCTGTGGGGCCGGGGATCGATTTCCGATCGAGCCAATGTAGACAATAAACATTTCTATATTGTCTCGCGTCTGGGTGTTGTGGTCCCGTCGTTGTTTCAGATTTCCATGATACAAGTGCTTTAGTTACTTAATTTGGGATCTGAGCAATGTGTGAGTTTATCCAAAATTTATTGTTTATTTATTCTTAATCTGGCAACTTTACACTCTTCGTGATGCTGTTCTCTTTATGTGTACCCAAAGGGTTTAGCCGGATACGTATGACGAGTCGGCCCCCAAATGGGAATCGATATCGAAACTTATGTTTTAATATCGACTGGATGTTCAAACACGATTTATGTACTTTTCGCGACCGACTTCCGCTTTGACCTTGAGATAGAGAGCAAAATATCCGTATGCTTGACTATTACTCAATGTGATATATCTCTAAAGCTAATTAAGATAAAGAAGTGAAACTAACGCGAGGTGTTAGGTTACATTACAGAGTATATCACATATATTTATTTATAATTTTTAGAATAAAAAATTACATTAAAAAAATAAAAAATAAAATAATCATGTTGTTTTTTCTGAGTTCTCTGTGACTTACAATCACGAAATTAATATATGTTATGCTCCTTTGTGTGCTCTATTACCCATAAAAATTGCGTGAAAAAAAAGTTGGTGCAACACAAATGCGTTTACTGTATAAAGTTCAATAAACTCCATGATAACTAAAGCATATATGTTGTGACGTCGACATTTTATTAGAACTACTATTTTTATCTAATTGAAAGCTTCAATGGCCTCAATCATATTCTACTGTAAATATAATTTAGGATTTTCTCTATGTTATATTTTAAATTATCGTCGTATAGATGATAGATTTTCGAGATGGGACAGTAAAGGAAACTACTATAACTACAAAAAAGTCCCTAGCACATCATAATATTAATTTTTAAGATATTTTAAACCTATGATTGTATCACAGGTTTTGGGAAATTTGTGTAGTCAGCAAAAAAAGTTGTTGGCGCTTTAATTTTATTTCTAGTCTATTCTATTAAAACTATTCTGTTTAAACAGTAACATATTAAATCCTACAACTTGTCCAATTTCTACAATCATTTTTAAACATATTAATTGAAAGACATTGAACGGCTCTGGATAACTTGATTAAACCGACTGTACTAAGAATTGAAATATTAATTTACTTACTGTGTTTTCAAATTAAATGACCACAATATAATATATTATTACAGCAAATTAGATTGTTACCATATCTGGCTGCGACGTTCGCAATGAGGATTTTCTGCAACTGGTTCAGCGAAACTCACGCTTCAATGGTCATCAACAGTTACACGGGTGAGACTTTGCATATATATGGTAGAATATTACTAATATAACGAATATTACCAATCGTCCACACTGTTAGAATATTTCTCTCCAAACATGTTACCTTATCAATTTCTATATTAAAATTTGACTAACGTAAAGTTCAAAAGAAAAACGTGGCGAATCCAAGACGCATGTCCGTCAGATAGATGGGAGGCGAGTATGGTGTATATTTGGTTAATGAGGAGGTTTCATGATGTTGGTATTATTATATTAAATACACTTTAATAAAAATATAGGTCAATACTAAAATAAATCAGAAAACAAAATTTAAATCCGTTAATAAATGACCAAGATACAGATTATTTAAAACTGTGTGTTTTCGTACGAAACGTCTGTGGTCTGTGACGTCACAGCTCCTAAACCGAGATCGTCGCACTACAAATTAAATAGAAGTCTTTGCAATATCACTTATTTTTTTTCTATTTATTGAATGCTCTGGCGTTGTTTTTAGTTATTGATGGACATTATTTTTTTTTATTTATATGTAGTTTATTTTTATGTTTCTGTGATAATAAGAAGAAAAAGGCAAATATTTATATATTTTAGAGATATATCCTCGGCTACATAGTTATTCATATATTTATTAGTTTCATAAATTGTTAGTTTCATAAAATCATAAATTGGATAGGGAACTTGGTGATTTTTTTCTATAGATAAAATTTATGATTTCACATTTTGCTTGTGAAAAAGCTCTTTCATGCATAATGTAGTTTTCTCATTTTATATAACAGCTTCATACTTTGTGCTTAAATAACATAAAATATTACCTAAAACCCTGCATAGATGGCAGCACTAGCATGTAGTAAACACACAAATCATTGCAAACATTTTTGTCTTTTCGAAATGAACGAATCCCTTCCTTCTTACATTCAAAAATGAAGCAATTGTGTATTATTGGGTAAAAATACATTCTTTCTTATTGAAAATCTACTTTGCTCCCTTATTACTTTACTTTTTGCTTACTACTTTGTGAATGGCGTTCGACGTTAATATCAATATTAACATATAACCTACTTTTTGAAAATATTTTTGTAATAAATTAACAAACTAAAGGTTATAAAATTATTAAAACGCAATTAGGTTATTATTATTTTGAAATATTTCAATAATTAATAAATTTTATGCTATCTGTACTTTCTGTTTTCAAATGACGTCACGAGGGCTTTATTAGACAATGTTCCAGCGCATTAGTAGGAGGGAAATATTTAATAGATACATTTTTCTGCTTCAATTTGAAAAACGTACAAAAGCGTGACGTCATGCGACATTTAAACACAATGTGTCGCCGTCATTTATGATTACGCAAACAATAAAAAAATATAATAATCTACCCTATTAGCGGGTCTTGTATAAACGTGGTGTTGCACGGTCGCGCGGGCAGGCGTGGACGACAACGCGGCCGCGCGCGGCGTGGAGATGCACGCGCTGTCGTCGAGCGCGAAGCCGCTGTGCGGGTGGACGGCGCGCGACGCCATCCAGCACTGCCGCGAGGCGTGCGGCGGCCACGGGTACCTCAAGGGTAAATCGATACAATAATACATATCGATATTATCGATTAAGTGGGCGAAAAAATAATGCTCAAAAAATCCACTTTGCCCCTGGCACCTGGACCAAACGGGAATGACGAACTTTTTTTCGTCGATGTTCCGGTAATCCACTAGGAATGTTTTCCAGTATAACACTGTGAATGCAAAATTGATCAAATAAAATAATTAGAACAAATTTTCATCTTTGTCGAATGTTTAAATATTTGTAATAATATTTCTTTCGGCTGTTTGGGTGGATTGCCTGAACATTGACGAAAATACGCTCTGTAGTAGCGAAAAAGTAACAAATACTTGAAAAATGCGTCAGTCCTATTAGGCCCTGGGTAGTTCGGTGGTTAGAGCATTCGCCCGGATTGCGAAAGGTCATGGGTTCGAACCCCATGTCAGAGTGCCAGGGATAAAGTGGATTTTTTAAGCATTTTTCATTATGAATAATTATCGGGATAACATCGTGCACACACAATTTATCAAATATAATACTTATAACCATTGCTTAGTTGCATGTATATCTGTTCGTGTTATTTAAGTGTGAGTTTAATTTTGAATTAAAAATATAAAAACTGTATAACACAATGCGTATTTTGAGTTTTTTAACTACAACTTTTAGTATTATTATTTTCGTAAAGATGTCATAGTTTAGATTCCAAGGAGAATCTTCAAAGCACAAATAACTCATACTTATGTAACTTATGCTATCCAGCTGCTGGCATAGGAGATCTACGTAATGACAACGACGCGAATTGCACTTACGAAGGCGAGAACAGTCTCCTCCTGCAGCAGACCAGCAAGTGGTTGCTGAACGTGTGGACCAGGAGACATAAGCTTACGGCCGCAGACACGCCGCTAGGGTCACTCACCTTCCTGCAGAATGCTGATGTACTCCTCACTGAGAAGTGCACATGGAATACTATGCAGGAAATGGTTGATCCGGCAAGTGAGTATTATTGTGAACTTTATGTGTATAATCAAAAGTATTTTTTCGCCCAATTTATTATTTAAGTATTATACTTTGAATTTCAGAAAAAATATGATTATGATTATTTATCATTAATAATTATCGATGATTTAATATATTTTTAGCGAATATTATTTAACGCCCCTCGCTCAAGTATTAAAGTATCTCCTTAAGTCACCCATAATTTTGCCGTCTAATGAATAGTTCTCCATAAAATAATATCATTTAAGAGTTGTTTGAAATTTTCGAGTTAAATCCATTTGGGCGACTATTATTCGTAAATTTGTAAAGCTAACTTAGATGTGATAGTTGTCCTATTAAGGTATCCAATGATACTTCACGCTGTGGGAAGATAAAAAAAAAAATCTTTCCCTTTACGTGTTGGGGAGGTAACCGAACAAAAGTTTTTTTTTATATGTATTTTATCAATTTCTCGTGTGATTAACGTGTATATTTATGCTAAATTATAACTTTGATATACTAATCCACCGACGTACAGACAGACGCACGCGACGATACTATAAGGTTGCTAGTTGACGACAGAACCCTAAAAACCGCAATATTGAAACTGAAAGCAACTTTGTTTGACAAAAATCTGAACAGAAATAAAGACGGCGAACATTAAAAAAATTCAAAGTCCCGTTTTAAAAATACAGTAGCGTCATCTAGCAATCAGTAGCGCCAGATAAAACAAAAGCTACTTTGTTTGATGAAACTCGGAAAAAAAAAAACTACAAACAAAACAAAAATCCCGTTATCAAAGAACAGTAGCTTACTCTGGTGCATGATATGCCAAAAGTGTTTTTTATAATTTCATCCCAAAAAGTCAGCCTAATTGGCTAGACTATTATTTCTACTCCGCGCTCTCTATCCATTTATTTTACTTCATTGGGATCGTTGGTATGGCATCCCATCACAAAATCATATCTGTTCTAGTAGAGGTCAAGCGTATTACTCCCATAGAGTTTGATTATGTATAGGATAGACTTTTAATACTTCTGGTATGGCAGTTAGATACAATATATTTGATTTATTTTATCTTATTGTCTTTTGATGTTCATAATTAGTACATTAAATATATAATAAAGTGTACTATAATTTGGTATAAAACTCATGTTAATTATCGATTTTTAGATCTAGTTCATGCTTACAAATGGCTGACAACATTCGTATTGAAGACTACTTATGATAAATACAACGCGCTGAAGAATGCGGGCAAAGGCGACTTCCACGCCAAGAACGACTCGCAGTCTTACAACGCTGTCACATTGTCTATCGTCTATGGAGAGGTAATGGAATTACAACTTTATGTGCTTTCCATAAAATTGATAATAATGTTACACTTAAATTTTCTTGACTACTTTTGACAATATTTCATAATAGGGTAGTTTCGGCAGTGAAAATTCCATTCCAATAAAATACAAAATTCCACAAAAACTAAAATTTACATCCTAAGAAACATAGAGATTCTGATTTTGGATCTTAAAATCGCATGTTTTTTTGTCTGTGAGTCTCGTGACTTGAAACACGACCCGCCATTATGTGACGTCACCGTGGCGACTGCTGTCAGATTAGTCACGAAGATATGCACAGAACATAGAGAGAGAATAGAAGTAGTAAGTGGGCGGGGCACGCGTCGCTGGCATATGCGCTTTTACTCATATGACGCCCTTTCCTCGGTTTTATGTTTGCCAGTCGTTCGTCAATCGTCGAGTGGTGATTTTACTGATTTTTTCTATAAAAAATGCCGTATTGTGCTATTATCACTTGCAATAAGCAAAGCAAAGTATACAATCTAACTAATGCAAACATTTCCTTTCACTGGTAAGTACAATTTTAGTGCTAAAATATAAAAAACGTAATAATTTGACACAATGTTAAATAAAATATACATTGATTGCTCAAACCAACATCAATGTTTCTGACCTCTGAAATCATTTTGTGCACTTTTGCAAAAAATAGTGCTGTGCCTCCATTTGTCTGAAATGTACCGATAGGCTGCTGCTGCTCGGAATCGTATTGTTAATTATATGGATCGTAATCCATAACTAAAACATATTTATTTAGAGCTTTTCTTTCATCATTTCATAACAACGTTATCGATAAATATATGCCATAATTATATAAAACTAAATAATACTGTTTACAAGGGAAAATTATAGATGAACTGATACTGAACAAATGAAATAATGAACTGTCCAGGCACTTTTTTTACGAAGATTCGGTTAATTATTTACACGCAGATAAATATTAAAAATTACTGATGTGCTATAAATATCTAAGTTACGAAGTATATCACCGTTTTATGAACAATACATAAATTAAACGAAACTTCGTGAAAAGCTAAGAGTTGGCCTAATAGGTCTTGTTAGAAACTGGTGAAACTGGATTTCACTTATTTTGCATTACTTATATTTCAGTTTCCCTAATAACTTTACAACGGATTGCCTTGTTTACATAATTAATTTTGCCCTATCTGCCCTTTTAGACCTAAACCTATCAAATGAATTTCAAAACAACATAATATCTATAGAAACAAAAAATTATGTTTTCAACTAACGTAATATTGTTAGTGGTGTGAATTTAATTTACAAAATTAATTTTTAGGCGTCAATTTAATTTACCTTATTATGCTGATTCATAATCGGAAACTATTATTATAGAAATCGAGTTAAGATAGCCACTTTAAAGAACCGCCCACAGAACAGCTTTTATCAGTTTTTTTGTTGCTCCATATTTGCACATAAGTTTATAGACGCATGTCTCAAACGGATGTGACTTTATATGTAGATTGACGTTTGTACGTACTTATCGCTTTAGTGTCTATCTTCAAACTTTTTTTGTCACAGCTTTCAAACTCATACTTGACCAGCAATTCCTTATTGTCCAGTCGTTGCAATTAATTATTACAGATATAAAACTTAGAATAATAAAGTAAAACAAACATGGCTATGATCAATTTATTAGTGTAATGATCATATTAGTTATTATGAAATGAAATGAAAATATCTTTATTCAAGAAGGCTATTACAAGCACTTGGAATGGCAAGTTTATTTTTATTTCTACTTTTTTTTTGTGAAGGAATCGTAATGTTTTCTTGCGTACATAATATTTTCATTGATGTATTGAGAGGCAACAGTCAAAATATTTATTTCTTTAAATATTTCTCTGAGAGATTCTCTAGACCGTAAATTATATATAGCGTGGACTAAAAATATCTTGAATGCTAGCCGCAGAACCCCATAACAATAGATTATACGTCATTAATTATACTATGAAAATAACTAAAATATACCAATCTTGCCGTTTCAACATTTGTCAATAGTCTAATTTTCTTAACAGCAAATGCTGCAGAACTCAGTCTACTTGACAAATTATCAATATACCAAAATACCAAGGAACTTTGTCGATTCCACCATCTCAACTTTTTCACTATTTATATTTATAAGTATATTAACATGCCTCACATTAGGTAATGCAAACTTTATGTATTTCGTTTTATTTGAATAAAGCTTTAAATAATTACTATCAAACCACTGTAGAAAATTGTCGAACTAAATTACATTGAACTGTTTCATAACAAAATTGAAAGCTCTTATTTTATCAACTAATATGTCACATCACTAATATGCACAACCGGAATGATACCAGTAAGAAAAAAATACAAATTAGGCTTAATGTAATTAATACAAAAATTCTGTTGTTTTCTTAATTTTTGTTTTTTTTTACACTTTCCCTCGCTTAATTATATTACTCCACAGACATACGATAGAGTGTATCATTAAGTTTTCTTAGTTTTTGTACTGCGTTTTTTAAAAGATATTTTAATAAATTATGTACTGAAAAGCCTTAATTATTCAGTATTCACTTGGTTACAGCAAAATCTAATATTAATAGTTCGCACATAAAATGATGACCCCAATTTTTTTAAATGTGCATAATCTTAAAATATTTTTTTCCTTCTGGTATCCCCATATACAGCCACGTGACAGTTCAACATTCATGTTAAAGTAAATTATTTATTATCACGTTGAATTAGAGTTTGTTTTTAATCGTGTGATTTCTTAGCTTAGTATCTTTTTGGGATTTGATTTATGTTATCGCGAACCTATCGCGTGGCGGTTTTTCATGTAGTGAACAAAATGATCATTTCATCTAATCTGTATTTGTGTGCGGAGAGGCGACACTCGGTTCCCATACTAAATTAATATCATTATACTTCTATCTCTCTCTATGTTCTGTGAAGATATGCCTATTAATTATAAATCAAATTCGTAGATGGCGGTGTTGTAAGCTTATTTATATCTTTTTATTTCGTAAACGATCGTTAGATGGCATTGTTCTTGTTTTATTGACATCTTCTAATCTTCATGCACCTGTTTTGCGTACATATCAATGATGTCATGAATATGACCGAAAGCGTTTTCACGGGAATAAAAAATAAATAAATTTAAATTAAATTTTAAGGTAAGAAAACGTGTTTATTTTTACGAAATATTTGTTTTATGGCTTTTTTTTAATAATATAAACAGTTACAAGTATTATTTTAAACATAGTAGAATACCCTATTACTCAAATCCCTAATAAAGTAGCTAAAATCTGAAACAACGACAAACATACCCTCGAACAGAATATGCATCGTGTGTAAAAGTTATTGTTTTTTTACAGAACTATATATTGAACCACTTCTACAAATCAGCATTGGAATTCGAAGATCCTCAATGCAGGAGTGTGCTGTTGAAGCTGGTCTCTCTGTACGGTTCTTTCCTTCTGGAGAAACATCTCGCCACACTTTACATTGTGAGTATTATTTGTCTCCCAAGGACCACAAAATAAAATGTTCTTGTTCTAAGAGTCCCAATATATTTTTTGTTTTCTATAATACTAGGCTTCCCCATATACTCGCAGGTCTTTATTATTTTATACTTTTTGATACTGTTATTTAGTTTTAGTACATATGGGGCCTTGATTATTATTTTGGCCATTGTCTATTATTATTATTTTTAAGTAAACGGAGATACAAGTTCCATATCATAGTGCCCGATTGCAAAATCATATCAACATAGCCAGTTGCACAAATATCCATTAAAATTGTCATTAGTTTAAAGCGATACAAATTTGACACTCATTAGATCTTAAAGGGGTCATTAAACCTTAATGGACGTATGTGCAACTGACCAATAGTCATTTATTTATTACTGAAAATATTTACTTTAGGCATCTATCACGACTATGACCTAATGTAAATTATGTCCAGTGCGCGTAGCATGAAGAACTCGAGAATGTTTTGCTTACACCCAAATGTCACTTTTTGTGAGTGCGCCCATACATATCTCACTCTCGAGCTCGACCAGAGAAAAGTGACATTTAGTATTGACAAAATGTTTCTCGAGATACGCGATTACGCGTACTGGTATTATTTTAAGTTTTTTTTTGTGTAAACTGAGTTCTAGCTGCTACAACAGTAATTATCTCTGAAATTTGTCCTTATTGTTTTACTGTATAGATAAGGAATTTAATGAGTTAAGAATTCATTTCAAATTCCATCGAGTGTACCACCGAGAGTGCACTCTCGGGCATATTGGGCGTTTCTCGAGTCTCATGTTCGTCATATTATGCGACCTATTTTTGTGTTATTTATATTTTTTCGATGACATAAATTGCCGGTATACCGGTTTCAAGGTAAGGTCGGTTTGGGTCTTTTGATGTCAACACCGTCTAATAAAAACAAAATAATAGCATAGCACATAGTTTAAATTTAAGATACAAAACTGTCTTAGTGGTACCAAATTCTAACCTCGCAATTCCCCAACCTATGTTAGTGTAATAATAGTTATTTAAGATAGGAAGGAAGGAAAGTAAGGTTTTACGAATAAGGGCCAAATTGAAAACGCGAGCGTAGCGAAGGTTTTCATTGGCACGAATTCGATAAACCTTTTACGCTCAAGTTTCTTACAACATTTTTCAATGCTTTTTGCGAGGAAATAAAACAAATATATAGGTTAATAAAACTAAGTATGTATTAAAGCTAAAAATTACTTGTTAAAATTAAACGTGATATTTGAACATGTTCTCGTGTCATACATTTTTATTTGAAAATATTCGTTCTAGCCTCCTTGAAATACTTTTGCCTCTAAAGTTTGACATATTTTCATCAATTTTTTTTAAATTTCTTTGGTGCTCAGCCAAATATAAAAATAGTGCTTTATGAGAAAAAATATATAATAAACTGCCTGTCTTTATAAAGAACGAACTTATGAATAAATTCAAGAAGATACTCAAACAATATTATTAAATAAAGTCTATAATTTCTACTTATTTTTTTATTTCACATTTTATATATTCATAATGAAAAATGCTTGAAAAACCATTTTGTCCCTGACATTCTGAGATGGGACTCGAACCCATCTCCGAGTGCCAGTGACAAAGTGGATTTTTTTCAGTATAGCATGTGAATGCAAAATTTATCAAATATAATATATTTTATATGTTTATTATCTTTAAATTATTCTGTTACTTTAATTGTATTTTAAATTAATACCTAATATTGCTTACAATGCAAGTTACATATTTGCTGCGCCCTCACGTATGGAAAAACATACGAGTAGCTTTAAATTGATCACCAATGTAAACCACATGATAAAATTGAATTGATTAATATATATTCGTTTGCGTAGGGCGGTTTCTTCAGCGGGTCCCAGGGTCAGACGTTACGTGAGGGCATCTTGCTGATGTGCTCCGAAGTGAAGCCTGAAGCTGTCGCGTTGGCGGACACGCTCGCGCCACCGGACTGGTGCATCCGGTCCGTGCTGGGGCAATCCGACGGACAGGTATGTCACCGATCATGTTAAACTCGATAAAGGGGGAAAATATCATGAAACATTACAAAGTGGATAGCTACTTTCACCGCTGTCAAAATATACCGATTTAACAAACCCTAGATTTTGAATTAACGAGGTAACTGAGTGGCTTGTAATAACCTTTCTATATTGTCTCGGGTTAGGTAAGGTTAGGGTTTTTAACTAACCTCCATTTTGGGGTGGGTCCGAGGGGAGAGTCACACACATAACTCGTGGACCTCGCTCTTCATCATCATCATCAGCCCTTTTATGTCCCCACTGCAGGGGCTCAGGCCTTCCTTACGGATGGTTAAGGAGGATGAGCCATGACCCTCCACGCTGGCCCAATGCGGATTGGAGGGTATTAACGACTGCAAATGCAGCCTGGACCAACGGCTTAACGTGCCTTCCGAAGCACGGAGTAGCTCGAGATAATAATTTTTTGGTCACCCATCCCGTGACCGACTCACTTGCGAAAGTTGCTTAACGACAACGATCGCGGGCCGCGGCGCTTAACCACTACGCCACCGAGCTACAGGACCTCGCTCTGAGGGAAGTGTATGTACAACGCATTTTCCCCCGTCAAAAAAAAAAACGATTAGGATAGATTATTTTCGTTGTTCTGAATTTCCATTATATAAGTGATGAAATCTACTTAACTTCTGAGATCTGGAGATCGGATCCAAGCAATGGATGTTATGTTTTCTTATAATAACGACACTTGTAAGAGAAAATACAATAATAGACCTAATTATCTTATAATTAGATTTCAGTAGCCACAAGGTAATAACGGGACCCTATTACGAAGACTGCTGTCCTTCGGTCTATATTGTTGTTTTATTGTTATATTGTAGGATCAAGCATCGGTCTCGGGATGGGTGACCATAAAATTATTATCTCAAGGTAGGCAAGTTAAGCCGTTGGCTCCGGCTGCATCTGCAGCCTTTAAACCCACCAATGCGTAAGGTTCTGTCTTCTCCCTATTCGATTTGATTCCATCCTGGGGGAAAGCTTGAGCCCCAGCAGTGGGTAAAATAATAGGATGATTACGATTATATTTGTTTTGGTAGGCATACAAACACATCCAGAACAGTGTAATGAGTTACCCGGGCGCCCTCTCGCGGCCCTCGTGGTGGCGCGACGTGGTACACTGGCGGTCGTACGTCACCGCCAAACTGTAGGACCATCACACGCGCACGTACCCTACACGTCATACAATAATATTAAGACCCGCATATTACTAATATTATTATATTATCGATATATATCTGATATTTAATCCTGACACTTGAAATTATAATTATTTGACATACAGATCTATATTATACATATTGACATTGTAAATTCAATAATAGTTAAATAACAAGACTATATAAATTTGCATGCTTAGTAATAGGTGAAACATGATGTACATATTAAAAACTAACCCTGTTATCTTATTAACCATGTTTATGGCCACATGAATAAATGAAATGAAAAAAAAAATATTACGCTAAACATTTTCTACTTTACACCAACGCCATTTGATAATAGAAAGTACAGATAGCATAAAATGCAATAGAAAAAATATAATTTTGTGATATATCAATGAATTATCGTTGATTAATTTTAAAATTTGTCGCATTGCCTTTCAATTTGACAATTGAAAGATGTTATTGAACTTATAATTATCTGACATGTGATAACGATTACGATTGATTTTGAAATTGGACAATAAGCCCAGTTGTCTACTCTACGCCCACGTGATGGCATTTGAAAATAAAAAGTCAGTTAGCACAAAATATATATATTATATATATATATATATATATATATATATATATATATATATATATATATATATATATACTCTTTATTGCACAAAAAACAAAGTCAACATTACAATTGTATGTAAATCACATAATATAATAGATACATTTATTTATTAATTAGTGAAATATGAGTAATCCTGGCTAGTTTATTTTTTTTTGCTAAATTACTTTAGAAAAAGGCTACTTTATATATTAATATTTGTTTTTCTTACTGTTTTTTGCATATTGAAGTGTGGGAGATGTTTGTAATAATTACCAATGGATTCCTTTTGACTTATAGTAATTATGTCTTTAGACTTATTTTTACTTTTTATGTGAAATAATGAATTTACTACACATTTACTCATTCCTTTATAGGATTAAGAATAAAATGTTTTTATAATAGATAAAATATGAATATTTGTTATATTTGAAAAGTTATACATATATTAAAATCGCGGCAAATAATAATTATATTACAGGGATTAGGTATAATACAAAGTAATAAAATAATTTTACAATATACCGTCTTTTATTCAAAATACCCTTTTTTTAATTTATCCAGTATCACGAATACGTCTGTGATTAGAAATTAGGATAGTGTTTATATTACTGATAAATATAATTTTTTTTTTTATTATTTAAATATTTAAGAGCAAGCAAATGCTTGCTTTTTTGATCTCCGTGTAGCAAAATACCATCTAGTTACTTAAATTTTAATAAAATACAAAGTATTAACATCAGGCATAATCTAAATTTCATCAATATACTAAAATACTAAAATTGCAATTTTTACGTAAATTTACTCTGACCCCAAACCTTGTTAATTAAAAGCAGTGTTATTAATAAACAATAAGCAAACCTACTACCTTATAGAAGTAAATATTACTCCAGTAGGACCTCGTACTAGGTTGACCTAGATTCCCGTATTAGCAAAAATATTTGAAAGAATAATGGCCAAAAGAATTTTATCATTCATTAAACAGAATAAAGTTATAGCAAATGAGCAGTTTGGTTTTCAGGAAGGAAAATCAACCACACTGGCTTGTTTTAATCTTATCAAAAAGGTAACTGAAAGTATAAATGATAAAATACCTAATTTAGCAGTGTTTTTAGATATGTCGAAAGCCTTTGATCGGGTTAATCATAGCATATTATTGAAAAAGGTTTTTGAATGTGGCTTAAGAGGAAAAGCAGCTGACTGGCTTACCAGCTACTTACGAGATCGCAAACAATGCACAGAGATCACAAGGTTAGAGAACAATATTAAAACAAAAGTGAGATCAGACTACGGTGACTTAAAAAATGGAGTACCACAAGGGAGTGTATTAGGACCTCTACTATTTTTATTATATATAAATGACCTACCTAATGTGACTAAAAACGAATGCTTTCTCTTTGCTGATGATTGTACTCTATTTTTTCAAAATAAAGACATTGACATATTGCAGTCTGACATTAACAATACAATATCTGACATTATTAATTGGATGAATGACAATAATTTACAAATTAATATAAAAAAGACGAAAGCAATACAATTTCATACATATAAAAGTAAAAAAAAATATATTAATTTAGAATATAATAATGATAAAATTGACATAGTGGACTCCACTACCTTTCTTGGAATTGTACTAGACGAAAATTGTAATTGGAAAAATCATATTGATGGCGTTTGTAAAAAAATAAATAAATTTGTATTTGCGCTTGGTAGAATCAGGAGAATCGCATCTTTTGATATAGCACTACAGTCATACCACGGCTATGTTGCAGCAGTTTTGCGCTATGGCTTGATAATATGGGGGAATAGTGTTGACGTAGAAAGAGCATTTAGAGCCCAAAAAAAGTGCATCAGAGCACTGTGTGGAATAAAAAGCTGGGAATCATGTAGGCCTTTATTTAGACAACATAAAATACTAACATTACCATGCATGTATATAACAGAGATGTGTCTCTTTGTAAAACATTACCCTGAATATTTTGTCACACACGAACAAAGAAATGAAAGCGCTCGGGATTCCAGAAAAAATAAATTATGTATACCAAAAATTAATTTAACCCTCTTTAGTGAAAATGTGTACTGTATGGCTATTAAAGTGTATAATAAGCTGCCACAAAATATTAGGAAACTTCCATATGAAAAAAATATATTTAAAAACTCATTATGTCATTGGCTTGGAGAACAAGTATACTATTCTATTAATGAATACTTGAATGACAAATAACTGCAATAAAAAAAAAATTATTATATCTTCTGACATTCTATTATTGTATATTTCATTTTATCTTATAAAAACTGACATTAAACATTATAATATTGACTATTATGTAAATGACCTATTCTGGTGTTCTTTGATTTATATTGACAAATTTGTGTATATTGATTGTATTGTATATGACATTGTAGAATTTTATATTGTATTTGGATAATATCACGGACATTATAATCAAACTTAAATTATATGATATTTTAAAAATTTAATGACATTAGAAATATAATATTTGCACGCCTACTATATAAGGCAAAATATTGTTGAGCATGAAACCTATGTAACAACTGTACTGACACAATATTTGAGCAAATAAATGTTTTGATTTGATTGATTTGATTTTGATTGATTGACCTTTGCTAAGTCTATTCAATAATATGAATTCTTAATATTACTTGTGTAAATATTAATTTGGATTAATACTAAAATTCAAATTTTTGGCATAAATTTACTCTGACACTAGACCTTGTTTATTAAAACTAGAGTAAAAGTATAAGAAGCACTTTTACGCCCAGTATAAATGATTTAGACCTTAATCTAATTATTTTATTTCTAGAATCCTATCAAATATTAACATGTTCAATTTGTAAACTTGAAAGGGATAAAACAACGCCTCTGATTGGGGTTTGCATTTTATATGAGCGCGTCAATCACTGAAAGTTCACGTAGGTAAGCCACTTATGGGCAAAAGTTCGTTGATAGTTTCAATCAGCGACAATTACAAGTACTGTGAACAATGTATAGAGCACTGTTGGTGACCATTTTCATAATAAAGTAAGACATGCAACTTTATAACATTAATTATTATACCTAGATATCTTCTTTTAGGTAGGTTAGGTATATTGGGATAAGCATAATTAAGTAGGAATTCTAATAATATAAATAAGAGCGCAATAGCTCTTTATCCTAAATTAGAATTTGTTATTTCTTTTTGAGGGATGTGGAAAAAGGCCTTCTGCAAGTTTCAAAAAAGCTGCAAGGGTATGTTTTAGTTCGATTCAGTTATAGTACCGATGGTTAAAATGTAAGTGCATTAAACAAATGCTTTAGGTATTTGTAGGTGAAAATTCAAAATAATAAAGTTACATATACACCCCAAATAAAGTACCGCATATAAGTCTATTGTAGATACATACATACTACAGCTATAAACATTTTCTTCGCTCTGATAATCATAATATTTAATCGCCGTTTTGTACTTATTTTAGTGCATCTGCAAATTTATCACCATATCTTAGACATACGGAAGAGCGGAAGGATCTCGAGTACATAATGGTTGATTTGTTGAACGATCTGACTCGACATCATGACGTAGCCTGCGTGGCTGTACTGTGCGATCCTGTTTACCTTAATGTCTTTGAAGGCTATCTGTTTAGGAGGCTGCTGACGGTACCGTACATAATGGTAAGACATTGACAACCACCGTGGTGGTATACCTCACGTGCTCATTTCAAAGTGCCGCCATGTTAGGTCCCTTGCACGATTCCCGGTCGAGACTATGTGGAAAACGGTTTTTTCTATAGAGTTTGGATGTTGTAGTGCACGTGTTATTTCAGATGACCATAACATAACTGACATTTAATTTGGGATAAGCATTTCGCGTGGTGAAGTCTCCAATATTCATTATTATTTCTTGCCTACATAAATTACCTTTATATTGGGAAAGAAAGGGAAAGCCGCATTGGAGCTTTATCTTGACGGTTAGAGCAGAAGATTTTAGACTGTACCTTTATTATAGGCTTTAATGCGCCAACAAGTTTCAAATCTCTTCGAAAGGACCTTATGGAAAAAAAAAGATTATTACATTATACTGTCTGTAATTCTTAGTATCGAAATTACTTATTAATTAATTCAAGCTCTTTATTTTCATTTTATTCAATGTTGTACGGCTTTCGTTATTGATGCCTTATTGCCGACACGCTGGGCTGAATTTGCAATAGGTGGGTACTGATAGTGAATATCAAAAAAATTCTAAACTTTTCTAAGAATTGCTGTTAGGTATTTTTGTTAAATACAATTTTTTAGTATTGAAAATTTTCCCTATCTGTTTAGGTATATATATTATTTTCAGATAGTAGTGGAAGAATACGAAGACTTGCTCTCTCCAAATTTTGATACTCTAGAATCTTTACGGCAAGCGAGAAAAGACGGTTGCAACGTGTATGTTATCCTTTTGGCGAACGGTTATCAGACTGCTAGGCTGTTAAGATTTGGCGACAGGTAACTCGCAAACCGAATTCTCATTTATAATAGAACATTGTGTTCCCTCCAGGGATAAAGTAAGATTTCAAAGCAGAAAATTATTCATTCACAGATACCGTATCTTAGACACGAGAGCCTATTACATAGTATTACATGACTACAGACTTTTTCACAGCCATCTTCATTACCTATGGAAACGCATAATCAATGTGCTCTTTCTTCGGTACCATAATAAAATCACAGGTGTAACAAGAAATAAAGCATGGTACGACCTATCCACGGTGCCCTACCCGAACCCGATCAAAAACGTTTTCACATCTAGAAGAGTGGATATATGGAAGAACGGCCGGTTTCATTACAATAGACCCTTGTTCGCCGACAAAACGAGTAACTTAAACAAAGAAATATTGAATATAGTTTACTTAGATCACGTGCCGTCAGTCGTTGTAACAAGAACTAATGAATCAAACGTAGTTGGAGGTGTGGAAATCGAAGTAAGTTATAATGCGTGGGCATAAGATTTATCCGGCTTTAGGACCATAACATTGTAATGATCATTCTCTTTGTTTATTTAAGATCCTCAACACTTTAGCAGAGAAAATGAACTTCGAACCAAAGCTGTACCAGCCACCTAACGTGGAATTGCATAAGTGGGGCCAAAAACAAGTTAACGGGTCGTTTTCGGGTCTCCTAGGAGAAATGGTCGACGGTCACGCGGACATAGCATTAGGCAATCTTCAATATAACCCCTATCATCTTCAACTGATGGACCTCAGTATACCTTACACTTCACAGTGTTTCACGTTTCTAACGCCAGAGGCCTTGACGGATAACTCGTGGAAAACTTTAATTTTACCTTTCAAGTAAGCTTTGTGCAAGCGTTACTACATTTTTTTTTGCTAATACACTGCTAAGTTCTTTCTTAACTTTCTTTTAGATTAGAAATGTGGATTGCAGTACTGCTAGTGCTATTAATAACAGGCACAATTTTTTATGGTCTAGCCAAATTTTACACAAATTTGCAACAGTTCAAGAAAATCCATAAAAATAATAAGATTCACATGCATAAACAGAAATCGGCGAGCGCAGACGGTATAAATAGTCAGTGCCAATAACCTTAGTAAATTAACACTCCCTTAAAAAAACTAACAACATTTGTTTACTTTGCAGACTCGGACGAGAAGCCTGGTTTGTACTTGTTTGGAGAAATAATTAACAGCATTCTTTACACATACGGCATGTTATTGGTCGTGTCTCTACCTAAACTGCCTACCGGTTGGTCGATACGACTTCTCACTGGGTGGTATTGGTTGTACTGTATTCTCCTAGTGGTGTCTTACAGAGCGAGCATGACGGCAATCCTTGCGAATCCCGCTCCAAGGGTCACAATAGACACATTAAAAGAACTCATTGAAAGCAAAATTACCTGCGGCGGTTGGGGTACGGAAACAAAGAGTTTTTTCGAGGAATCTTCGGATGAAATACAGACGATAGGCAGAAAATTCGAAACCATAAACGATCCTTTCGAAGCGGCGAACAAAGTCGCCAAAGGTGTTTACGCATATTATGATAATCATGATTTTTTGAAATACATAGCAGTGAAACGAAAACACAATAATATAACATTTGATATAGAAAAAGCGAATTACACGATAAATACTACTGAAGTCGCAGTGAATATCGACGGAGAGAGAAATTTGCATATAATGTCAGACTGTATTGTAAACACACCCATTTCTGTAGGTTTCCATAAGAACTCCCCTTTGAAACCATTAGCCGATTTTTATTTGAGACGCATAGTAGAAGTGGGTCTGGTTGAAAAATGGCTTAATGATGCAATGCATCCCATAAGGTCTCTAGAGATAACTGAAGAATCAATTAAAGCATTGATGAATTTGAAAAAGCTCTATGGTGCTTTCATAGCTTTGGCCATAGGTTATTTATTGAGTTGGATTTGTCTTTTAGGAGAACTTATACATTGGCATTTGATAGTGAAAAAAGACCCCAAATTTGATAAATATGCACTAGATATTTACTATATGAACAAAAATAAAAAACTTTAAATTAACTGGAGTTACAGTTTATTTCATAAATTAAAATCTAATATGAGTCTAAGAATAAAACCCTTCAATTCAGTCATATTTAAGTCTTTGAACAGTCAACTAATAAATGTTTAAAAAGTCAGTATTACAATATTAAATATAATTAATGATAATCATCACAATACATTCCATTATTTGTAACCAATAAAAATATATGAATTGTTTTTTTGTTCTTTTTTTTTTTGCTTTTTAAATAATGCATAATTTAATCTATATTAACTAAAATTAAAAGTTACAAGTCATCATCTTATTTTTGTTCTTGTATGTGAGCGGAAGGTATCGCCCCCTCTGGTGCATTCTCTAAAATCCATGGATGTTGCAATACACTAGTCAAGGGCAGCCTATGTTCAGGATTTATCACTAGCAATTTTCCCATTAAGTCTTTTGCTCTTTCAGAAATAAAATCAGGATATTTTATTATAACATATCGTATTTTCCTATATGTTTGGTGGGAATCTTTGGCATCAAATGGTGGTAAACCAACAAGTAATTCATAACACAATACACCCAAACTCCAAATATCAACAGCGTAGCTGTGAGGTTTACCTTCAATCATCTCTGGTGATAGATAGTCTAGTGTTCCGCATAATGTCATTCTCCTTGAAGAAGGAGAATGAACCGACCATCCAAAGTCTGCTATTTTTAGTTCCAAGTTGTGTCCAATTAATAAATTCTCTGGTTTAATATCACGATGAATAACTTTCTTCGAGTGGCAATAAACTAAGGCCCTAGTTAAGTCTCTTACGTAGATAGCCGCTGTTTTCTCATCGAAACGCCCGCGTTCCTTGAGTAACTTGTAAAGAGCACCATGTTTTGCATACTCCAAAATTAAATAAATCCTTTTTTCATCATGAAAATACCCATACATACGGAGAATGTTCGGGTGGCGCAGACGGCACTGTATTTCTACTTCTCGACGTACTTGATGTTCTATTTCAGAGTCTAATATTTGACTTTTAAAAAGAACTTTTAACGCAACAACGTAGTGAGACTCTTTCTCGCGAGCTAGATAAACGTTGCCAAATTTTCCCTTACCGAGTGGTCTGCCCAAGTCGAAATCCGATAGTGTCCATGATTTTTTCTTGTCATCTCTATTGATGAGCTCCGGTTTACCAGATGTAGACTGTTCCTTGTTGTCGTTTACGTTTGCTTTTGTACTATTGTGTAGTGGTCTCCCAGCTGGTATGGCAGGTATTTTAAAACTATCAGCTGGTAACTTTTGTATGCTATTATTACAAATGCATCCAGGTTTTCCTGCTATTTGAGGACGATTTTCTTTACAACCACATTTTAAAGCGTTCATTTTCATAAAAACGTGATGACTTTACGACTACACATGCAATTACTGTAGTAACAATTTTGTGAAACTTACATTCGCGCGTCAAATCGCAATCGCTTGACTTGAATGAAAATTCATATTTTCTAACGTCTGTTTGCGTCAACAAAAATGTCAATTTTGTAATAATGTTGCCAATATAAATGGATGAAACTACTCATATCACATCTTTTCTACTTTTGTAAAATTTTATTTAATATGAGTACTTGATAGTGACGATTAGATAATTATCAATTTTTATTTAAATTATCATCATATTGTACATAAATTGTAACATTAGGGTAAAACTGTTAAGTGCCATCCACACAGTAGGTGGTCTAATGATCTTCAACGCCCTTGGTCGAGACGTTGCCACATAAGAATAGGGTATTTGAGAATATTAAAAATAAGTATGATCTTCCTGTGAGATAATAATTTAATAAAGTATATTTCTAAGGATCTGTAGACAAAATATGTTTAGATTTAGTAAAATAATGTAAACAAAATGCAACATTTTTTGGAACAATTTAACATTAATTTCTCTTCCATAACTTTATTTAGACCAAAAAAGAATGGTATTGCATAACAAGTAAAGTCCTTATAAATACAGTTGTATAGATCTGTGGGAACTTAAAATAATAGGTAACTTAAGAACCCAAAATATTTGTAATAAATAACCCTGTACTTCTTAATTCTCGATTTTTTTATATATTATTTTTTGACATTATATCTACTACTATTCATTCGATTTTATTAAATATATATATTGTCCCCGCTCATCTCATTCAGGGTGATGGCTGAAAATCGGTGCTTCATCGGCACTACATGATTTTAGTGCACCGAGCCTAAACCCTTTTCTCAACTGCTGCACACAGGTATATTTCTGTTTCTTGTTCCTCTTTGTTTCTTTTGTGTGATGTAATTGTGTGTTGCTGAGAAATAAACTTTTTATCTATCTATCTATCTACTATTTGTTATTTCGTAAATAAAGAGTTGGTAAATAGGTTGTCTCGCCTTGACATATTTACCGGCAAGTGACGTTACAAATACCACGTGATTAGTGATATTACATGGAGAAGCGTTTTAATGACGTTTGGTCTTATAGTTTTAGTCAAAAAAAAATTTCAGTTAAATTTTGTTTCGTTTAAATAGTTTAAAAAAGGGAAGCCTATAAGTTTTCCATTTTCGAAGAATGGGAAGCCTATTAGCTTCCTATTTTTGAATTAAACACTTTAAATTATTTCTAACTTTACATCTCCATAGATTGTAAAGTTAGAAATGAGATGTAATTTTGTTTTGAGATGTAACACTTTGGTCAGAACGCTTGGCATAGATTATACATAATACTGGTATAGATGCGCCACTCTAAGGTCGAAAATGGAAACTTGTGCGGTTCCCTAGTCACGAGATGGCGTACAAGTAGCTTTTTGTTTTCACACGGGCCCACTAGATGGCGCTCATACGCATTCAATATTGTTTATACATTATTTTATATGAATTCTTTTTATGTTAATTAACCAGTAAATTATTTACTGGTTAATTAACACAGTGAAAGGTTAATAAATTAAACTAATTACTAGTACAATCTATTGATTTATTTGTCTTTTCCTCTTATTATAAAATTCGTACGCCTGATTTTTGACATGGTCATTCCTATCAAAAACTGTAATTTTACTTTGATAGAAAGATTACAAATAAAATCTTTTCTATATACATTCTATTTGTATTATCTTTAACAATGTAATCAGATAGACGCGCTCAGAGCTATTTTTTTTATTTTATTGAAATTCAAAATTTTACATTTTTTATTATTGTTTCTATACGTGTAAAGACCACAAACGTGACATTGGCGGAATTGTGTAAATGCAATGATTAAAAAAGAAGAAGAAGAAGAAATAAAATCAACCAACCAAAGCAGCTTTATGTAGCTTACAAGTTATAATACTGAAATCACATGCAGAATCAATAAAAAATTTGATTTGATTTTTTAAATATGTTGATGTAGGATTATCTCGTAAACATGCAACAATAAGATTTTTTTTTTTATTTAATTATCAACAAACTTTGTGGTTAACATAATTTGGTTTACTTGCATCATGTAAACCACTAAGGTTCGTAACACATGCAAGAATTTATATAAATTACATTACAAAAAACTTAAATAACTATATGACATTACATAATACAGATTAATATTTGTTTTAATATATTAATTACAATTATTTTAATTACTTCAATCACATATACAAATTAAGTAGATTCAAATCAATCACATTTTTTGACAACCCAGCAAACGCTTTGATGATGGTACTATTCTAAGAAAGAAAATATTTTTTTAATTCGTATTTAATATTTTTTAGATAATATATAGTATAGATAATATATAATGTATAATGTATAAGATAATATATATTATTCATTAATTCTATAAACCCATCATTTGGATGGAAAAGTGATCGCTTAGTGTAATCAATTTCGTAATTAAAAGAATCAAAATCAACACCAGACCTACATAAATTATTTAAACAAGTAGCACAACTTTTAAAGATTTTTGATTTTGATTTTTTTATCACATAACCCGTTACATATTTTTTCGATTCAACATGCAATAGGGAATCATTATTTTTGATATCTGTCATAACATTTATTAAAGAATCAATGTTACATGCAAAATCAACAGTGGGAGAATCATGCTTAATACCAATCAAATGTGTGAGTGATTGCATGCAAGTATTAAAATCTTCTTCACAATTAGCACCGGCAGAATGAGCAGAATTATAATTATTAACAATCAAAGTCTTAAATGCATTGATAAATTGATTACAATTAGGATTTATATTTCTAACGCCATTACTTCTTATGTTACTAAAAAAGTTTTCTAAAGGATCCTGATTAAAATTTCTAGCTACTAAATTTGTTATTTTATGATTGTCATATAAATATTTCCACATTTCTTTAAATGTTTTTATATTAGAAATCCAATTTTTAATTGACGGAATCGACTCAAATTTAACTTGTTCAACTCCATTTTTTACTTTTATTGATTTAAATTTGATTGATTCTAAAATTGGAAGTATATCATCCCACAGTTGGAAGTGAGGGGAATTATGTCTAATACAGTTTTTATATATTTTCGGTTCACCTTTATGACCATTAAAGGAATCAAAGAGCTTATCAAACAGAAGAAGAAAGTCTGCTGTTCCCTCACATTCAGTAGGTAATACTCCATGTCCTGAAAAGAGAAAAAGGTTAATTAGAAACCAACTCATTGTGGAGTTACACCGAAAATAGGTTTAAAAGTAAATGAAAGGACTGTATAATATCATAATAATAGATTCTTATTTCGGACGGGAAATCATTAAATGATTAATACTCCTGCTCTGGGCAGGCAGAGGCAGAGGAACGTGTCAGACTTTTGCTGACTAGCCCACCCCGTTCCTTCTGTCGCCTTTGAATCGCCCTAACTATTTAACCTATTGTCAAGGTTCTCTTAATCCTTTCACAACAGTTACAATTTTAAAATTACTAAAGTCATAATTATTTAATTCAAATCTAACAACAAAGAAAAAAGAACAATGAACAAAATAATATGTGTATGTACAAAATAAACTTAACTATCTAATAATTAAATAATAACAACTTGAAGACTGAATATAAAAAAAATATTTTAATAAAAATTAATAATAAATAAATTCCAAGGCAAAGTCAGGACAAAACGCTTGTATGTTAAACCTATTGTTCGTGCGCTCGCGCATCGTTGACCAAAGCTGCAAGCCGGTTCCTAGATTAAGTTTATTTTGTACATACACATATTATTTTGACCATTGTTCTTTTTTCTTCGTTGTTAGATAAGGATTAAATAATTATGATTTTAGTAATTAAAAAATTGTACCTGTTGTTAATGAAGGATTAAGTGAACCGTTACATCAAGTCGAAAACGAAAAAAGAGGAAATAACAAATAGTAAAATAATACACTTACTTGCTAAAAATCGAAGCGCAGACGATTTACGTTGGCTAAATACTTGGGCAGCTAATTTCACCTTCATTTTTTTTATCTTATCTTTGTTGACGTGATTTTCCGTCAGTTTATTTACAAGACGAATTTCATCATCTCCAACATCAATGGCCAAAAGCATATTTAAATGTTCCCATTTTGCTACTTTTTCCTCACCATCTAGTATAAATGTGGCGTTTTTCGTCAATAAGTTATTTCTAATGCCTTTTAGCAAATGTGGTGGATCAAATAAAGGAAATACTTTTGTATTGTCTACCTCAAAATATGTTTGCATTATTGATCTTCCTTCTTTGGTATTTTTATTTTGTGTCTCTTCCCTTAACTCCTTAATTACTGCAAAATTTGTTGTGTGTTGGTCACAAATAGTAGAAATTACTCTTAGCCCTGTTTCATTTATCTGCTTTATGACTTTAAGGAGAAGGGCTTTCAGATCTGCTTTTTTTGTGGCACTTTTAACAAAAGTAAAACAAATTGGTTGCTTATTTTTACTTTTTATACCCTTTATCATAAAAACAAGGGCATGATCAGCAATACAATTAGTTTTTGTTGTCCCATTGTCTTCGAAACCAATAATTTCATTTGAACGCTCATTGTATATGAGACCAGGTGCTAATGAGACTTCATCAAATAATAAATTTACAATTCTTTTTTCTTTGGGCATACGATCAACACATTTTTTTAAATTTTCTAATATTTTTTTATTAATTCCTGGCCTTATTGTAAATGTACTGAGTATCTTTTGCAAACAACGTTTTGATGGTAAGATAAACATTTTCTCCAAAAGTTTATATGCTTTAGGACTTTGTTTTAGTATAGATAAGGCCATAATTTTTTCATCAGTGGTGTATCGTCTACCTCGTGGTGTATTTCTATATTTCAACTGCAATTTCATAAAAGTTTGCAGTTCATCGGGTAATTTTTCAATCGTTTTTAAAAAAGATTTTGACATAGCAATTTTTCTTGCAACATGTATTTTTT